TTATTTCCATACAATCCTTTCCATACTTGCATACCCATCCAATCAAAGTTCAAACAAAATCCAGTCAGACTTTCATTCACATATGAACATATGTTTCCTTTGCCTTTTCACAGAACATTCAATGAAACAGGGTCAAGCAAGTGTGGGTTCACACAGGTGTGAAGGGGTCTGAGTCAAAAACTGACCTCGAGTGAAGTGAAAAAAAACGCAGACTGGCTCAATCAAGAAAGACAAGTAATGTCTAAAGTAATAAAAACATCTCCTGTGGTTGATATCTCAATCAAAGATAGTTGTCTGTGTCAAAGCTCCACTTTCGGGTCCACGACCCCCAACTAATAGGCCCACTATCTGAAGATAATCCCCGTCACCCCAACGGTTTCAAATAGGCTGTAGAAGGAAGTGGGGTCCACCAATTGATTTAGGGGAGATAACCCTCAACGAGGGCGGTCCCACAATAAGTCCCGCGTGGTCCAAACGGAGTCCCAACTATACCTCTAAATCCCAAGGACTGTTCTGCATCCACCACCAGTCCCAAACTGCTCTTCGGAAAATAAATTGTGTGCCGCCACATGACGCAAACCAAGAGTCATCCCCGAAAACAATAGACCGCAGCCCCACCGACGTTGGGAGGCACTTCTGCCTCACCACGACAAAAACAGGGTGTTGCGCGCCAAAGAATTTTGGCAGCATCTCCCCTTAAAACTCCTCATCGCTGATGTGACAACATCTCCCCTCAAAATTCTTCGTCGTCGACGTGCTGTCAATCCGGCAACATTTCTCCTCCATGGTCAAAGCCAGTCGTGCGATCACTCAAACAGCATGCCCCTTAAAAAATGTTGTGTCGCCGTCGAAAAATTTCGGCAGCATATCCCCACAAAAAAATATGTCACCATTATGTCGAAAATCCAGCAGCATAACCTCACAAAAATAGGGGTGCAGTCTGCCGCACAATTACAACATCTTCCCTCCTTGGGAAAATAGCGTAGAACAGGGCCCTGGTTCCATAGAGTGGTCCCGAGGGTAGCTCCAGAGGCGTAGCGCCAACCCAGTGTTGGGGCAGAGTGCCACCAGGTATGGCTACGGCTGCCCCAACTCCTTCTCCAACTTTTTCCTACAGACCTCCAACTCCACCAGCAGCTCTCCCTGAACTCAGCAGACCACCTCCACCAGCAGCTCCTCCCTTAACTCCCTCAAACTGATGCAGCATTGTGACCAGCACTGAACTGAATGAGAGTGAGCAGCACCGCATCACAAATGTGAGGCAGCTGGGGGAGCAGCTGCCTTTATACGTACTGGAGGAGTGTGGGCACCACCTCTGTCCACAGGTAAAAATCCCGTATCATTTGGGGCCCTTGATCTAAGATAAGATCAAGGGCCGATTGTGACTGAACCATGGCCACATATAGTGAGGAAGTGACTGTCAACTGCCTCTTTTTTATTTTTCTTATTTTATTGAATTTATCCCAGCTATCTTGGAATTTCACGAAATAGCTGACTGACTTCCTTTTTCAAAACTGTTTTTACTTTGTTCTTCTGATTGTTGTTTGAAGAGTTATGGCTCTTCAGAATCCGATGTACCTAGGCGTTTTCCTAATATAGATATGTCATCGAAATGGTTGTACTTAGCCATTCAGGAGGGCGGCCTTTTAGTTTTACAGACCTCTTGTTAAATGGTCACACTCACACACATAACATGCACACAGTGATCTAAGTACACACATGGCCACATTCACGGTTGTTTATCCTATTGTAGCCCATTCTTCAAAACGAACGGGCGCAGGTCACATACACATTACCAAAAGGAAGAAGAAAACAATGAATCTTCTCCTAGAACATGGGAGGATGCATCGCCTCGTGGATTCACGAGGGTGCTTCATTAGTGACTGCAGCCCGTTCTCCAAAGTGAATGGGCACATTCTAACGAAGATAAGACAATAAAAGAAAGAAAGGAAAATAGAAACAACCCACCTTTTGCGCTGAATCTGGCTGCGATCACATCCAAAGCTAGGTTGAAAGTCCTAGCGTGAGCATGTCCTTTCCACTGCTACAGCCTGCGTTTCTTTCTCAGATGGTATATACATGAACTGTTGAAATGCAGACTGAGGTTCGAATCCACATGGTGAAGGCTGACGACTATCTAATCTCACGATCCACCTTGCTCCACGTCCTACTAGTTTGTCCATTGGTGTACCATGAACTGTTGAAATACAGATCCAAGTTCGAATCGAGGCGCAACCGACACCGGATGGCTGCATCGCACCGACGACGTTGCTTTGGAGGTGCAAAATGAGAATGAATCTCCCCTTAGAACATGAAAAGATACGCCCCACAACTTTCCTCGTTACAGGTCCCAACAAGCATGTTCACACACAAACTCTCACAATAGCTCATGGGGGAACGTGCCCTCCCCTAAATCCAGCCACGTTCATGGCTGTAGAATTGTTCAGCCTGTTGCGCAACTTCTCCCTCGATGCCTCTGCCTTCTGGCAAAGGAAAACTGACTCCTCCTATTGCCAAAGGCGTGCCACCTGTCGCCATGCTCAAATAGGTAAGTTAGTTAATTTTATTGTTTTTACACCCGTTGGCATCAGCCAACAGTCACGTCTCGTGGCACATCCTCGATCTGTTGAAATACCAACCTGAGTTCGATTCCAGATGGAATCGCACTTAAAAAAAAGGACCACGTTGGGATTTATGCTTGTCATCCTAGAACAAGGGCCATGCTCATCTCGGCGAGGGTGATTTCGACCGTTCGATCTTCTCGATCGTGCGGTTGAAAACGCCGCGCTGTTATTTCTTTCCAATCCAGCACGATCTTGATTGCACTTATCACTCCAGCCTATGGACCGCTCCTATCAAAAGGAGCTAGATCGGTAAGGCAGGATTAGATTTGATCCATGTGCCTGTTGGTCGAAAGTCCGATTCCTTACCTATCCGGGTAGGAAAAGGAGCAACTAGCTATAGGGGTTGGTTCCAGCCCACACAACCTTTACTGAGGCGTAAGCTACTCAAATGGCTGAGAGCTCAGGCTCTAGCCGAGCAGGCACCCAACCCAATTACAGTGCAAACATGGGATCAAATCCAAGTGGATGTAATCTGTAAAAATTACCAAGGTTGGGCACAAATTTTGCCTAGCCCTCCCAGACATTAGTTGTAATAAATAAATAAATAAATAAGTTGGGTGGCCACACACTCAACGCGGTCATTCTTTTCAGCCATTTAGGCTCTAAATCGCGCAACTGCTAAGCCGCACGTCCCTATTTTAGGTAGAATAAGTTCTTTAATTATCGTACATGCAGCCACACGCCGACACATATCTACGTGCAAACTTCGACACCAGCTCTCACTGTGTCATAGTTAAGGCGCACAAGGGGTAGTCATGTGCACGATGTCTTCACATGAATCTTACATTGTGATTACAATGTCACTGCATTTAACTTCCAAAAGGTCTATCGAGGCCATCATCGGGCCTCGAAGCTACATTTATTCTACATTGCCCGTTTGAGCAATCGACAACATCCTGAAATTATCGTGACCGCTTGTTGGTACAGTGACTGGATCGGCGGTTGCCCCGTCAGTCATCTATCATCATTTACAGATGCGAACAAGCCTCTGGAGTCAAGTTCAAAAAAAAAATGTTCGTCTCTCGGTCGTAGGTCTAGTCTGAATAAACTTTCGATAGGTATCTCATAAAGTTATTCAAGGAATCTTATAGACAGTCGGACAGTGTCTGAGATTAAGAATATTGAGCAGATATCCTAGTAAGGGTTTCTGCCCCGACAACGTGAATTGGAATTGAAAGTAGACATAAAGCGAGCAGTGAGGCCTATGGATGGATGGATAGATATGGATATGGATATGAAATATTATGGATGGATGGGTGGATGGACGGATGGGTGTGATATGGATGGTTATGGACATTGTGATGGAATTGGATGGATGGATATCGATGGATATGGATGGATGTGGATGGATGGTCGCATTAATTAAGCACAAGTGAAATGCATATTGCCTGAAGTCTGTGAGGATCCTAACCCCCCACACATCGCAGTCACTGACTGGGATGTGGATAGTAACTCGAACTCGTAACGCAGACTATGGCATGAATTTGAACATTCTGTACAAGGATGATAAGGATGAAAAGAAGAACAAAATCAGGCATGGTGACGGACTTTTTCTTTTCAAGAAAGGTGAACAAGAAGTCACTAAGAATGTAGTAAAAGGAAAAATAAAAAGGTCCATTGTCTGTGGGGAGGTTGCTGACCCACGAGTGTTGCATGGCATCAGTTTTTCAGTAATGTTTCATGAAAAGAACCTGCTTTCAGGGAGCACTTGTAGGTCAGCAACCTCCACACAGACAAGCTTCCCTTTTCTTCTTTTTGTTTTCATTCAAACTTGAAAACACAAGCTGTCTATTGGTGGGGAGCAGACAGGCAATCTATCATATCCTCTTTCTTCACGTTATTCACAGTTAAACCAGGCAGCAATGCATCTCCCCACCCTAGTCGCCATTGGACGTCCAGTTGCATCTTTCTTGGCATCTTGAATGCGAAGTTCATCTCTCTGTGTTGATCTTATGATCTGTGTTGTTGGATGTCAAAGATGTATGTTGATGTTGCTGCTGAAAAGTGGCTTTCAGTTCATGAGGTGACACTCGCATGGAATCAATCGCAAAGCAAATCAATGGAAGAATCCTGTCCAGTGGTGTTAATTATAATCAAATGAAGAGAGGATGCAACTGATGGTTGCTTTTTAGGTGTGATGATTGATTACTATATGCCATTGACAATAATTTATTTGTATTATTACTACTTTCCACGATGAATGTGCCGCCAGCCATCCATCTCAGCGCTGGCTGTTCGAACTTCAAATTCATTTATGTCAATGGACATGTGGGTCAGAGAAGCGGCTGTGCATGCAACTGTACATTCTTGTGGCGATTGTGGCAGAGATTCTTGATTGCTTATTTCATGGGTTTTATAATTTTATTATTTTTCCAGGTTGCACGGATTCCCTGTGGCGGTTGGAGGAGGCCGCATTCTTTTACTATTGGCCGCGGAGAGGGCCCTGAAAACCTCTGCTTTGTGTACCTCAAGGTGGTTTTCCAATCCTCAAGCTTCATGACTTCGTTTTCCAACAAAGTTTGCGCCAGTAGGTCCACCAGTTTGCCGGACTCCCATTCGTACCGAAAGGTGGACACAGGTTCGCAGAACAGGCATTCTGTTTTGGGACAATTGGTTTCCAAAAGTCCTTTGGAACCTGCTGTTTTAAACTGGGATGATAAACAGAGAAGATTCACGTACTGTTTTACCTTTCTTTTTTATCCTACCAATTAACCACGTCATTTAAAAAAAATAAAAAAAACTGAAATTCCTAATGCATGATAATGATGATGATGTCAGAGAACCGAGGCACTGGCCTCTGTAAAGACTAAAGGCTGAATTGGCATTCTGTTTGGGGGGTCTACTGTTTCAAAATGTCCTAGATGTAGGTACACCATGTTCATTGAATCACTTAAGGGAGGAGTGGATGGATGAGTCATGCTGGCAGCTTGAAGGCTTAGTTGGCATTTCAAACATGTGACCCAAGTAGGTAAATGGGTAGGGCTTCCAGATCAGGAAAACTGTGAGTTCACTGTTTCTTATCAGGAATGCAGTGTGTTTGCTTCGCAATATGTCTCTCTTGAATTAATATCATAATAAATCATATTAGTGTGTGAATTTCGGAGTTCGATTAAAATTTGAATGATTTTTGGAGTTGAACAATTATGATTCTGTAGGGCCCATGCTAATTTCTTTCTCTATTTGTAAGTTGTAACTTGTAACTATTGTTCCAGTGTCTTTTCTTTTTTTGGCTCTAAACACAGCTGGCGGCCTCCATATTGCAGGGATAAGAGCCCATGCCGCATGGAGGTTCCGCCTATTGGCTGGCTGGCCAGTCTTATTCATGGGGAGCATCACATGCTGGGAGCATCACGCTTCATGCAAATTTGTAGAAGCATCGGTCCCAGGAGAGAACTGCATTGACTGATCTCGCCTCTTGAGGCGATTGACAATCTCTTGCCCCTGTTCCAGGGGTAATGGAGGACAATCCCCTCCTTTTCTTTTATGGCCTAGTTCCTTCCTTGTACAACTTCTCTCTTATGGCCACAGCTGTTTGTATCAGTTTGTTAAACTTTGTTTCGTTGCATTTGAATAGGTGTTTCTTATTTCGACTATAAGAGGACAGGATCCTAATGTCTCTGGAGTCTGGACTTTGAACATCGAGGTTATGCAGATTCTAAGTCACAATACCTGGGTCTGCACATCCACATCTGGGTTGTCCAGGACAGACCGGTTCCAGATGATGGATCCAGCAAACACTCAAACTGAGAGGAGTCAGAGAAGCCCAGGTAGACATTTCAGTCTGAGAAGAGTATTGTTGTTTTGTGCTTGTCAAATGGAGAGCGCCCAAATCCAACCCTGTTTCCAAAAAGTATGTATTGGGTCAAATGGGAATTTGAAGGGATGCAAACGGGGAAGGGGGTTTAAAAGAGAGGATTGATGGGTGCATATTTATGCTTTTGTTTTTGCTTCTTGCTTTTTTGTATTTTTGGAATTTTGTGAGGAACTTTGAGGCAACCCTCAGGCAAAAGTTGTTTGTATTGCAACTGTGCATGACGGACTGAATGTTATTTGCTTTTTTCCAGAATTTTTTGCTTATTTTTTGAGAATCTTCTAAAAGTTTGCTTATGCTCAACCAGCTCTCCCTGGGTTATCCGGCATGCCGCCTTGCCAGGACGTCCAGGTCTGGATTCGGACAATTCAGGGCCTGCTGGACGGCCTGCCTGGTAATAGATCCAATTTCTTTCCCATTGTGATCAGACTCTCAGCCTAAGCAGGGTAATGGCCCTGGTACTTCAAATTGTTCGACATATGCTCTCATATGGGACACTGGGCCCAGTTCCCAGCAGGTGTTGCTCTCCACGAATAGGTTGGAGCACTATTCCTTCCTCTCCCCCCCCCCAAAAAAAAAGAAAGATGTTTTGCTCCTAACCCGTTGAAAATTGTGTCTTGTTTCAGGACCAACTATTTAAGTTTCATCGACACCTGGCCAATCGACATGCGCCCTCCAAAAGAAGCCTAGAAATAAGGGGCAGAGCAAGTCACCCAAGCAATCTCTCTTCCAGCTTACAGTCCTTGACAAAGTGGCCACGATCACTTCATGTCAACTACCACGGAAAGGAAATCCATACGGTCAAGTTCATACCGAACCCCATGACACTCCCTGCTAGTGTGAACAGCCAACAGATTCCTGACTGTAGCAGTTGGAGCGGTGCTGTGCCTGAGTCTTGTACCAAGCCCATTGCTACATGCAAGGAATTGTCCATTGTAACAGGAGCAGAGGATGGGACAGTGCGGATTATCAGGTACGTTGATCTGGGCTAGAGATTCAGTGAACTGGTGACAAGGGAATGGGAGGATGAGCTATGTAAGTGGACATGAGCTTGAGAACTGACATCAATTGTGCAGTGATAGGCAGAAGGGTGATGAATCGCAGCTGCGGTTCCATTAAGCATGCCTTGTTGTGTTCACTGTGAGAGTAAAGCCTAGTCCGTTAAGCATGCCTCGTTGTGTTCACTGTGAGAGTTCGCACAATCTGATGTATGATGCCCTATTTTTGAAAATCGCCAACCCCTTGCTTTTGTTTGCTTTTTTTTTTTTTGGTTGTTGACACTGTTATAGTACTTGTCTTTGTTGTTGATTGTGGTGGTGGTGATGGTGCTGCTGCTGCTGCTGTTGTGGTGGTGGTGATTGTGGGCGTCATTGTTGTTGTGGTGGTTGTGGTTGCCGTCATTGCTGTTGTTGTTGCCGTGATTGTTGTGGTTGCGGTTGTGGTGGTGGTGGCTGTTGTCGTTGTTGTTGTGTTCGTGGTCGCCGTGGTGGTTGTGGCTGTCAGTGTGGTCATCGTTATCGTTGTCATCATTTGTGTGAATGTCATTGGTGGTGGTGGCAATGACGGTGGTGGCAATGACGGTGGTGGCAATGACGGTGCTGGCGGCGACGGTGGTCAAAGCGGTGGCTTTGGTAGTGGAGGTGTTGGTGGTGGTGGTGGTGTTGCTGCGGCTGTTGCTGCTGTTGCTGCTGTTGTTGTTGTTAAATTGGAATTGAAGAATAAATATGTAGTCTGAGGATTAATATCACAGTACACCGGCATTGTAACAGGATGGACACTCCCATGCTTCAGACCTTCAACCTCACGTACTGCTCTGTCTGAAGGAGCGTCGACACTCAAACTATATTTAAACTATTAAGTTATTAACTAACTCTCTCTCGGGTTCCCGGATCATCCCTAGAGTGGGGACTGGGCCCGGGTTCCCGTAATTCAGAGAATTAATTCATAAATAGAAAAAATAATGCTGAATTGAAAATAGTAAAATAATGAATTTGAAAAAAGAAAAAGAAAAAAGTGGCGAAGTACGAGAGGATAACAAAGACCTCTTATCCCACGTATTCGAATTTACTTAGTACTAAGCTTACTGAGTCCGATAGTCCAACGGGCATATGCGCCTGTACATCAGGTGCAGTAACGCTCACAGCAAAACGTTGTACGATGGGCCGCCAAATCGTTTGTAAGCAAATTTGTCTCGGAACTGAAAATTACGTGAGCCCTTGTGGCATATCTCGTACATCAGTCTCAGTGGCGATGTATCGAATCTTCGAGTAAGACAGCTCCTGAGATATCTTCCGAGTCTGAGTTATCCTGAGAGTGTGCTGAGGCCCATTGCTCGTAGCGTGCTGCAATTTTTCAGGCTAGTTCGATCCAGATACCACCCAATTTTTGGCCACGTTTTCTAAGGCCATAAGAAAGCAAAACTTAGGGTCATCAACCCCTTTGACTTCCCTGTGTAGGGTCATCAAGGAGAGTGGGAGTAACGCGTTACAATTGGTGGTCGTATTAATCCAGTATATAGTACCCATAATACATGTGATTTTCTGTTCTCGAGGCCTGAAAGACCCATTGTATCGTGTGATCATGAACCACGACTTCGACGGATCCTCCCATACGCTTTCAATGTTCTTGAACCTGTGCATGGAGATGATTTCGGATGGCCCTTCCAGCATAAAAATGTTTTATTATTACTTTTTTTTTTTTTTTTTTTTTTTAATAAAACGGAACCTTATGGTTCCGGCTCCTTATCCATTCTGGGGAGCATCAGTCCGGTTCCTATTCCAACGGCAAGTCAGAAAGGATTACAATGAATACTCACTCACGCTCCTCCCCCTTATGGCGTGGAGGCCCGAAGGACGACATTGATTACTTCCCTTGGGAAGGCTGTACCTTCCTTCACCCCTGCCTAAGTTAGCCTATTCTACTGGGGTTCTGGTTTTATCATGTATTTGGTGCTAAAAGCCTAAGCCCTAGTTTGGTATTTCTTTGTTTGTATTCTGGCTCTGATTGCAATCAGACTCGACTCATTCACACTTTTCATGCACGTGAACAGCAGCACAACAAACTGGCGACATGCGCCCACACAGTACACAGAGATATGGCTTCCAGGTAAGTTCACTTCCACTGGCTATGGCAACTGAGCGCCCAACTTCCACTGTTCACACACTGGATCACCCTGGATATCCCACACTCGACACTCTGCACACTCACATCACACACACACACACACACACACACACACACACACACACTACTATAGCTATGGCAGCGCTAGCTGCCACTACCCTATCGCTATTCTACACTTCTCTGCCCACTTCGACTTCGGGCACACTGCAGACCTCCTCGCACAAGACGCTGAGGCAGCGCTTCCGCATGGCTTCCGCAGGAATGAATGAATGGCTGTGCGCAGCCTCTTGATTTATACTTCTGTGAGTCGTTGGTCTGCCCTGCTTCCCTGGCCCACGGTGTGCACAGTCCCAGACGGTACTTGCTTGACTGGACCGGACTGGCTGGACTGGGACTGCTGACTCTGCGTGGTGGACTTCCACCACTTGCCCACTTGCCTAGACCTCTAGTGGGCTGACTTCCGAAAGGCCACTTCTAGAACTCTCTACCTGGCCTTTCGGTACTGTAGCAGCTACGACTCTGCTCTTTCAGGTAGGTAGCAGCTACGACTTTGACCCTTCGGACAGTCTACAACTACAACCTCTGGACTGTCTAGACTCCTACCCGACAGGTCTACAGTTCGAATCCCCTATACCCTGTAACCTACGAGATCCTACCTACCACTGGCGGTCCTACAGGTCGCAGGTTCAAATCTACGGGTTGACACAGTTACTGTACACAGGTAAGGTGGGGAACTAGGGATCGAGCCCTGGGACCCGCATCAGCTACTGCGAAGTGGTGAATACCGTTTCAGTGTGATGTTCTGATGTGGTTTCTAGGGCGGATCTGAGTACTGGGTAATGATTGGTCAGGTGTCTGTTTGGATTCAGTAAGGTTGATCCTAGTAGGGCCGGTGTTGAGGCTTGGGAGGTGGCTGGGTTGGGGTTTTTTGGATAAGTTTGGTGTGCTGTGTAATGTATGGCGGGG